CTGCAAACCCTGTTTCTTATAACATTTTATAATATTCTCGTGTATGAGACAATAAAACCGTAGAGACTGGAAAGTGCAGAGAGTAAGTTATTTCCCAGGAAGCTCGCTTTGGCGCCCGCCGTCCCAGGACCTAGGATGAAAGGAGTTTTCTGCCCAGCGCGCGGCAAGCGTTCGGTTGCTCACGTTACGCACAGCGTTTTGTCTCTCCCTGACAAGCGCAGTGTGCCGAGAATGGGCGGAGTATGGTTTTTCTTCTGATTCAAGAAAATGTGCTTGACGTTCGTAAGTAATCTATTCAATCACTTTAGCAAAAGGGAGATGTTAAAATGATGGAAAATACTGCTCCCTCAGACTCATCTGCGGCCTTTAAATCCTTCTCTGCTCCGTCCATCTTGCTGACATTCGGAGATGATTTTAATTAAGGGCCTTTGACAAGGTACCATAGTCATTTAAAATTACTGGCTCAGGAAAATCTTTATAAAGATGGCTTTAAAGAGTTCAGGAATCCCAATAGTTCTCAGCAGCACGAGGGTGCACTATAAAATCGTAAATGAGTGCATGCGCCCGCCGAGGTTATAAAGTGCTGTTGTTTTTCCGGTTTGACATTTCATGGATTCCAAGTCAGCCCAGCTTAGTGGCGTAACATAAATCACAGAGCAGATCTGGATATTGTAAAACTGGAATTCAGGAGCATTCTAGGGGCTATGAAGTTAACAGTAATCAGTAAGTATTCTGCTAAGTATGAGTTATTGCCAACATTATAATTATAGTGTAAAATAATAATTTTTATAGTAGAGAAGCACCAAAAACTAATTGCCAGGATGATTATAATGGCTATGAATTAATAGATCAATTGAAATTGTGATGACTATTTTAATAGCGAGACGGAAGTATCTTTTGTTTTAAGACAATAAGTCTAAAAGCATAATCAACACTCTTTTATCAGAAAGAGACAATTTCTTTTAACTTTAAGCTAACCAAAATGATCCCAAATTTGCACTGTCATTATTCTTTCTTCTGGGAAACCGTCTCTTTGTCCTCCTGTGCTCTTTAGAATTCCATATTCTCACCCGTGGCTTAGATTTTGTGGGTAAATGTTTCTCCTTCACCAGCATACAAGTGCCTTGAAGGTGAGAGCTGTGTTTTATTAGGTTCTGGGTGTCCCAAATGACCCCAAATGGACTGAAAATCAACAATCATGACTTGAATTGAATCGAGTTCCAAGAGTTGGACGACTTGAGCCGCATCGCGGTGAGTCTGTGGGCAACAGTGCACACACAGAAAGGGCAAGACGGCAGCAGGACGTGGCCCAGAGCCAGGACTGACTTTCCACGTGGACTTAACAGCAGGAAGAGATGGGACCGCAACCAGGAAGCTAGTTTGCGAGACGGAAATCCCTGAGTCGTTACAGCCTTGATTGCCGCTCAGATTCATTTTATAATGACTTATCAAACCCAGTTTCATCTGACGTAATTCGGAGATTCGGAGATCAATAGCATATCAATTGGCGTGGATGTTGCCCTTGCAGAATTTTCTCTGAGAATGAACCGGTTAATCCACAGGCTGGATAAGGTGCTGGCCTTCTCAGTGTCGGATTGTTCTCGAACGCGTCCATCAGCCCGCGAGTTCCTCCGTCCAAACGCTCCAGCCGCTGCGCCCGCCCGCGCAGTCTCATCTGCTGCTCATGAGCATAGAACACACAGAGGCTCTGAGAAAGCCATCTTTTCCTCACTCCTCCAAAATAATCATCTGATGGTGATTTTTTTGTCGCGTGTATTTTGAGATTGTCATTTATGAATCTATCAGCTTTGTATTTTTGGAGGAGAATCACACAAGTGCTGGTTAAATCAATCATCAATGTGAAGATTCTCCACCCAGAACCTGGGTCCCCACGTCCCACTCTGTGCTTGAGGGGCAGCTGGGGAGACGGTGGCACGGGCCGCATTCCCACCCTAACCGCCCCGCACACCCTCTAGGAGCGCCGGGCCCCGCGTGCCAGAAACAGTGAGACCACGGCGGACACGGCCTGGCCCAGGGTCCTCCTCAGATGGAAGCTGCTTGCGCTACGTGAGTGTGGGCAGGCAGAGGGACAGACCCAGGTCCCTCCAACGTGGCTCATGCGGATCTCCTATCACCACTTCTGTTACCATTGGAGACTCGGGGTTCCAGCTGGAAAAGGAGTGGTAAGAAGACGGAATCTTTGTGCGCGAGAAGAGCAAGAGAGAGGTGTCACTGGTCCTCTCCCACGCATCTCCGCGACAGCGATTTTCTTTACAAAGGCTGTAAAAATGAGCGAAACTGCCTCGGCATCTGAACCGTTTGCCCTCCAGCTTTCTGTCAGTCGGACTTTGTTAAAATCCCTGCCCCTTCTTTTCTCCCTGGTTTGCGGTTCTGGTCCGTATTTTGTCCACTCTCGTCCAACGGCACCGGGACACGCTCTGAAGGGCACCGAGGTATCTACTCTGTATGGAAGCTTGCGGCTCCCCGTCTATTTTGAACACGCTTCTTGGTTCCATTTGCGGTCCAGGAGCCGCGCGACTGCTCAAGAAATCATAAAAGCATGAAACGTTGGAGCGCACGGGAAATCCATGATACTCCAGCCCAATCCCTCGTGTCACAGACATCTGGATGCCCACGGCCTGCGGAGAGCCACAGAGCCGGCGAGGGGAGAGTGGGGACCCGGGCCAGGGAGCCCGCCCCTCTGGCGGCGCCTGCCCTGTGCCGCGGACAGGCCGACCCCTCGGTGTCCCTCGGAGCACAAACAACGCGCCGCCAGCCCACACGCGAGCAAAGGCGAGACGCCGTGTGGCCTGCAGCTTATTATTAAGAGAAGGTGGTAGAAAACAACAGGTCTCCAGGACTCGCAAGTACCGTGAGAGACACCAGAAGAGAGGCAAATGCAGAACTGTCAGATCTGTAGGAAAGCTGGGCGTTGTCCCCGACGAGGCCACTTACCTGCCTTTGGGCAAACGAGCTGCCCACGTCCTCCTCATCTCCGACAGGCTTCCTGCTCTCTCTGCAGGGACCGATACGCCGATCGGCAGCTCTGCAGTGAATTTCTCCAGATGCCGTGTAGCGTCAAGGAAAACCCTCGCTCTTTCTTTGCGAACACGAGAGATGGACGTTATGCGAGCTCAGAAAGAAGCGTGGATGCTCGTTGGCCCGCGTGCGTCTGTGCTGCAGGGTCTGCCGCTCGGCCGTTCCCTAGACGTTAACGGAAGTCAAGCTGGCTGGGAAGCAGGGCTTGGGCACGGCTGAGGAACAGGACAGGCTGCTCACGCCGGCACAGTTCCGACCTCGAATCACCACGTCCCGCGGGCAGGAGGCCGGACAGCCGCGGAAGCAGATCTTCGCCACGGGCTCTTGCTGATGTAGCGGGCGCTTCCGGAAGATGCGTTTGTGTTGAAATGTACTCGCTCTACAGTCCTCGGCTGCGTTCCTTTCGTGGAGACCTGGCGTACGTGGGAAAAGGTGGAAAGTCTCCTGCAGCCGGCTGTGCGGCTAGCCGGCCAGCTCACACAGCGCGACAGGGCTCAGCTGGAGCTTGGCGGCAAACCGTGTGAAGATGGGGTTATCTACATATTCAAATAATAAAGGTTTAAAAACATTTAGCTGGATCTGTGTTCATAGGGCGCCTTTTCTGTATCTTCTAATCTTTACAGTGTTGCTTTAAATAGGAAAGCTCATGGTTTTTTTTGCCCAAGTAAAACATTTACCTCCTAATTCACTGACACATCATCTTAGAAACATTATATATTGTTAAAGACGTAAGCTTGATCACTTCAGATGAACACAGACTATTAAGATTAACCTAATTAATATTCCTTATGCTCTTATCTTGAAATAATGAACAGTTAATAGTTTGAACGAATGAAATAATTTGCTTGCGGTCACTCATGAAATCAGATAATACATATTTGATAATGCCTTTTGCCGTTTACCTCAAGCAAAACAAACGTGCTTTAAAAACGAAAGTTTGGTACAGACAGGAAGAGACAAAAGGCCCGTGTCTAGGTGAGATACGGACTCGGCCGAGCCACAGAGTTGGAGAACTCGGACAGTAAATCCAGGAGTTGCCCTTCTTCTCGTAAAAGTGAACTGCAGCTCTGTTTTCAGTTGTGTAGATCCCCTCGTGTTTCATTGATCATAATAAGAAGTGCGATGCTCTCGGCGACCCACAAAAGCGTCCTAAAACCCTGGCAGCGTTGCGTGGCGGAAGCGTCCTCTAGTTCGTTGGCCACCCTGCGCCCTGCAGGGTCCCCAGGAAGCAGGAGAAAAACAGGCTTGAGATGGTCTCCCTCAACAGCCTCAGGCCCCGGCCAAGAAGCGGACAAGTGCGGGAGCAAGTGGGACAAGGGTCGGGTCGCTCGGTGGCAGAGTCAGAGCTTTCCCGGGGACTCTGAGTTTTAATTTGGCGTTCATCCCATCCGGGAAGGCTGCCTCCATTATATCGCAGTAAGGGAAAGAGGAACCTGTTACTCCAATGACGCTTTTTCAGAAAAATAGGAAAGCTATGCACTATTAAGCAAGAATGTCTGAGACATGCGCAGCGTGGTTAAATGACTCTTTGCACAATGCCCTGACTTCATCTGTCGAATGGTTTGCTGGGCAGCAACCGGCCCAGATATTTCAGGCGCCATGAACACCATCATAAAATTACTTAGCTCGGGCATCACGAGCAACGCCTCGGCACCCTGTGCGAGGTGGCTTTTTTGATGGGTTTTCCGCAGACTGTGATGATTTGCCGCTGCACTGTGATGTTTATGGGCTCCATAAAGGGAAGGTTCTAAAAAGATTATAGGCACTGAAAAAGGAAATATAACCTTTTCTTCAGGAGAATGGAGCACAACAGACTAAACATTTTTGGGATTTCTTGCCTGCCACGGAGAGGTGATGGTTCCCCATTGACATTCTCAGTTGTTTTATGTCCTCAACAAAAGTCTTCAAGGGGTAGAATAAAAATTCCAGATATAAGACAAACTATCTTCTCTTTTCGCCAGGAAGCTGATACATCTTGTCGGGAAGAGGAAGCCTTCCGTGAGCGGACGCGGAGTTTGGGTCGACGTCCCTCGGATCCACGCGGGGCCCTCCACAGCCCCCTGCTCTGCGGAAGCACCAGCATCCTCTTTGTCTGACACCACTTTTTCGGAGTCATGGAAATATTTATAGGGATTGCACAGGAGTGTTGCTTAGAATGTGACTTGTCCTAATTATCCGGACTGTGGAATCTGAGTAGGGATGTGAGGATGTTCATGTCCAGATGGTGACTCCCAAGCCCAGGAAAACACAATACTGATGGCATTGACCGCAGAAAAGTAACTGAGAACTATCCTTCTTAGACACCATTAAGAAAAAAAAAAATAAGAAAACTTAAGAAATTAATTGCGTCAATGCTTGGTATTAGATATGTTGGTTTTGGTTTGTTTTTAAAGAGCTTTGGAGTCGAACTGCATCCTAATTTTCCATATTAGCTTATCCCCCGACATGCAGAGGGAGTGCAAGATCACTGGCGATAGATTCTGCTGGTACTGGCTAACGGGGTCTCCACGTTTGCACAGCCCCTCCCTAAGCACTCTCACCTGCCTGCTCCAAGGCACAGATTTCAGCCTGTTCCTCGAGGCTGTTTGTGGCGGCACAGAGCAGGTGCTGAACCAGTGTGTGGCGCAGGGCTGCCTGTCGTCCCAGTTCTTTTGCTCACCTGCGCCAATTTCTCTGTTTGGTGCAATTTCCCTCCCAAAGGTATTTTGAACATTTTCAAGTTGTTGTTGTTTTTTTGTTGTTATCAATGTACATTACATGCATGGATTAAGTGATTCTGTTTGAACAACATATTATAAATTTTACTCTCTCATAGAAGAATACTTTGAAAATAAAGTCCTCCTAAAATCTGTCTTGAAAGATTTTTTTTTATGATTACATAAATCAGGAAGTTTAAAAAAAATACTAGTTTGGAAAGACCCTGTATGATACTCCAATGGTAAACACGTGTCATTCTAGAACATTTGTACAAACCCACAGAACATTCACCACCAAAACTGAGCCCTGACGTAGGTGATGGATTTGGGGTGACGATGTTGTGCCCACATAGGGACAACCAGTAACAAGTACCCTCCAATGGGGCGTAGGTCGTGGGGGAGGCTGTAGACACTCCGGGACGGGGGTATGTGGGAACTCTCGGTGTCTTCTGCCCAACTTTGCTGTGAACCTAAATCTGCTCTAAAAAAAATAAATAAATAAAACCTATTTTAAAAAATGACAAGAGGATAAAGGGCGGGGGGTGAAATACTGCATATAGCCGGGCTGGTGGATCAGCGGGGGGCGGAGGAAGGAAGACAGTCTGGCTGCCGCAGCGAGAGTGGCCACAGTGCAACGAGGCCAGCAGCCCTGGAGTCCCCAGCAGCACCTCTGAGGCCTGGCGTCGCTCCTGATTCAGAGGCTGTCACCCACACGCATGTCGTCACTTCTCCTGAGCTGTACGTGGTGTTGGCTTTATGCATGTTGCGTTTAATTGTGGTTCAAATCATCTTCCTGGAGTTGACACTGTGATTCATCATTGAAACAAAGTTACTGTGTTGTACACTAAGAAAAAGAGAACCTGGTGCAATTGTACGGGTTAAATTATACTCAAAAAGAAAGAGCATGATTTGATATTTTGCAAGAAATATCACCATTAAAGGACGGTCTATATTTTCCGATTTCCTTGCTAAGCAGCAGCCACGTGCTTCCTGGGACTTCAGAAAGAAAGAAAGGACGCAGACAGCCACCGCCCCGAGCTGCAGTCTGGGTGGGAGCGTTCCTCTCCGCCCCAGGCGGGGAGACTGGAGGCAGGCAATCCTCAGCACACCTCTGAACAGGTGACAGAAAACTCACTCCTGGGAGACGGGTCTGACCCACACCACGGGGTGGAAAGATGATTTCTCAGAAACGTCCCTCTGTCTCGAGCAGTAGGCGATTGCTTGGACTCCAGTGACGCGAAAGGCAGTCGAGGTGGGTCTGTGGTTTGAAGAAAGCAGGAAATGCCCATGAACGCTCTTCGGCAAAACCTGCAGGGTGCGGACGTCACTGGTCACTCGGCGTCCTGAGGAGTCAGGCGCTGACTATGGAGAAGGAGCAGGAGTGACAGAGCTGTTTCATTTTTGCTTAATTTTTTTTAACGTATGCACAGCAAATGTGTGGACAGTATGATAAATATCCGTTTAAAGAGGACCAAAACAGCTCTTTCAATAAGTAAAATTGATAATAATGTGATTATTTTGTCATATTTTTGTTTAATTAGTATTGTGATTTTTCTCTCTTGGGCATAAAAAATGTCAGACCTCACAATTCATAGTTATGTTTGATGAAATATTAGGTTGGTGCAAAAGCAATGGCAGGTTTAGCATTGTTGAAATTTGCCCTTTGATACTGGAATACATCCTTAAATAAATGTGGTTATGTTATACATCATTTTAATGCACATTCCTCACTTTATTTATTTATTTATTTTTTTTTGCTAATGACTTACTACTTGCTGTGTATCTTATATTTATTTTAGACTGTGGAAATGATGTTAGACAAAAAGCAAAATCGAGCAATTTTCTTATTCGAGTTCAACATGGGTCGTAAAGTAGCGGAGATAACTCGCAACATCAACAAGGCGTTTGGCCCGGGGACTGCTGACGAACGTTCAGCAGCTTTGCAAAGCAGAGAGAGCCTTCGAGACGAGGAGCACAGTGGCCATCGGGAGTAGACAACAACCAATCGAGAGCCACTGTCAAAGCTGATCCTCTTACCATGACACAAGAAGTTGCTACAGAACTCAGTGTCGACCATTCTATGGTGGTTCGGCATTTGAAGCAAATTGGAAAGGTGGAACAGCTCAATAAGTGATGAGTGGGTGTCTCCTGAGGTGACCAAAAATAAAAAAAAAATCGCCGTTTGAAGCGTTGTCTTTTCCTCTTGTGTGCAAAAATGAACAAACCATTTCTCAATCAGATTCTGACATACAACGAAAAGTGGATTTTATATGACAATCGGTGACAACCAGCTCAGTGGTTGGGCAGGGAAGAAGCTCCAAGGCACTTCCCAAAGCCAAACTTGCACCAAGAAAAAGGTCATGGTCACCGTTTGGTGGTCTGCTGCCGCCGGTCGGACGCACTACAGTTTCTGAGCCCCCTAGAAACCATTCCTCGTGACACGTCTGCTCAGCACATGGACCGGATGCACCGAAACCGCAATGCCTGCAGCCGGCGTTGGCCACCACAAAGGGCCCCATTCTCCTCCACGACAACGCCCAACCACGCGTTGCACAGACAGCGCTTCCAAAGTTGAGCCAGTTGGGCGACAGAGTTTTGCCTTGTCCGCCATGGTCACCTGGCCTCTCGCCAGCCCACCACCACTTCTTTAAGCGCCTCAACAACTCTTTGCAGGGAAAACGCTTCCACCACCAGCAGGATGCAGACAATGCTTTCCAAGAGTCGGTCGAATTCCAAAGCACAGACTTTTGCACTACAGGAAAAAACAAACTTACTTCTTGTTGGCAAAAATGTACTGATTGTAATGGCTCCTATTTTGGTTCATAAAGATGTGTTTGAGCCTCTTTATAACGACTTAAAATCCACGGCTCAACACAGCGATTACTTTGGCACCAACCTATACACGCTGTCTTCTGAATTAAACTATTCAATTATGCATATATGTGTGATATATATATGCATCTCTGTGATGAATATTATTATAATTATATGCATCATATATGATATGCCTTATATTATAATTATGCATATAATTACTCTGTGAATAATTATTAATACCATGTAATTAGAGTATATTTTCTTTTTAACATTTACTTTTGTTAATTCCATACATCACAGAATGACATATCAAAAAATTGTTCTACCCAAAAGATCCAATGACACTCTACAAAAAAACACCTGCACTTGAATGTTTATAGCAGCATAATTCACAATTGCAAAGCTATAGAAACAATCCAAGTGCCCATCAATTCATGAGTGGATTAATAAAATGTGGCATATGTATACCATGGAGTACTATCCAGCTATAAGAAGCAACGGTGATCTAGCACCTCTTGTATTTTCCTGGATAGAGCTGGAGCCCATTCTACTAAGTGAAGTATCTCAAGAATGGAAAAACAAGCACCACGTGTACTCACCAGCAAATTGGTATTAACTGAGCAGCACCTAAGTGGACACATAGGAATTACAGTAATAGGGTATTGGGTGGGTGGGAGGCGGTATTTACATACATAATGAGAGAGATGTGCATCGTCTGGGGGATGGGCACACTTGAAGCTCAGACTTATGGGGGGGGGAAGGGCATTATTTGAAACCTTAAAATTTGTAACCCCATAATAGGCTGAAATTTTAAAAAAGGAGGAAAAAAAATTGTTGAGATTCACATCTACGCCCATAAGTCTATTCACGCACATTCATCCGCAGGAGAACCGACAGACAGCGGGGGAGGAGAAAGTCCACGGCCCCTGTGCAGCGTGGGGCCGCAGACAGGCAGCTGCACCCACTGCTCAAGCGCCTGCCTGCCCCTTCCAGCCCAGGCTTCATGTGCTTCTGTGCCGGGTTAAGGGGCTGCTCCTCCTCGTGCACGCTGCAACGCACCTGGAGGGCAGGTCCCCACCTGGACACCTGCCCGTGCTCAGGCCACCTCGGGGCTCAGCCCAGAGCCCCAGACCCGGGGGGGGGGGGGAAAGGCGGCCACGTGTCCCTGAGCAGCCACCTGTGGTCGAGCCCTGCCCGTGGCCTCGCCTGCCGGGGCGGCACGTAATCTCCGGGAATGCCCTAATTTCCCTCGTTCGCTAAACCTGCGTCGGGGCTGAGACAGGCTTATCCCTCCGAACAGATGAGATCAGCGGATCATGGGAAGGCAGAGGGGATTACGATGCTTATAATACATGGAGTCAAATCAAATGCGTGTCGTTTGCGCCTGGGAGGAGCCCGTGGCCGGGCCCCCGTGTCTTCCGAGGGGTGCAATAAGCCATGGTAAAACAGGAGTGGACGGGGACCCTCCAGCAGGGAGGAAGAACAGAGTAAAGTCCACATGCGCGTGGGCGCTTTCTTCCCCCGCAGCCTCTCGGTCTGCCATGGCCTGGGCTCCACGGCGGAGGACGCCTCTGCCCTGCATGGCTGCTCCCAGCTTTCTGTGCCGTGTTGCCCGGGCTCTGTGCCGTGCGCGGCAGCAACACGGCAACTTCTGGGCCCGCGAGTCAGCGTCCGCACCGGGGTGCTGGCGGCACCACCCCCCTATCTTGGCCGTCTCGCTCTCTACACGCCGCCTCCCATTTCACTGGGATAGGGGACAATAAGTGTCTGTCTTTGAACATTCTGTTAAGAATTCCCCAGGACATAAGAAAGAAAGCCCAGGACCAGGCGTCCTCAAACTACGGGTGGTGTTTTCACCCGTTTGTTTTTTTTACTTCAAAATAAGACATGTGCAGTGTGCATAGGAATTTGTCTATAGATTTTTTTTTAAACTATAGTCTGGCCCTCCGATGGTCTGAGGGACAGTGAACTGGCCCCCTGTTTAAAAAGTTTGAGGACCCCTGCCCAGGACAGACCAGCGGGCAGGAGAGACGTGCTAGACAATGTCCACTGCTTGACAATCAGACTGGCCAGTGCTGGGCATTGGCGGAAACAGGCAAAATCTCTAAAGGGCGTTCAGCGGTGCATTCCGCGGCTGTGGCCGCTCAGATCTGAGCAGGCAGGAGTCTGCCTGGACACAGACGGCTCCTGCCCAAGCGCTTTGGCCCGGGCGCGGTGGCTCGCTGGGAGGCTGAGGCGGGAGGATCACTCAGGTCCGCTCTCAAAAACAGCCGCCCTGAGTAAGACGCAGCACCCCGTCTCTAACTAGAACTACGAC